GCCTTACTCTGTCACACAGGGTAGAGTACCCTGCTATTTGTGGCATCATCATAGTTCATAGCAACCTCAAACTCTTGGACTCAAGCTCCCTTGCCTCAGCCTCAAGTAGTTTGTGGACCATAGGCATGTACCACCACCCTGCTAATTTTTCCATTTTTAGTAGAGACCAGGTCTTGTTCTTGCTTAGGCTCGTCTTGAACTCCTGAACTCAAGGGATTTTTCCACCCTGACCTCCCAGAGTGCTAGGATTATAGGTGTGAACAACTGGGCTTTTTCTATCCTTTAAAGCTCTGCTCAGATCTCCTTTATTCCAAAAGAATCCTCATACCTCAGAAAAACCTGAATTAGCTACCTCCCTTAAGTGCCTTAAGAGGCTTGCCCAAAAGCAATAACTTTAAATTAGGAAGTAAATCCTTGGTTCCTAGTGTAGATCCTGGTTAAAATAGGCACTTAGTTAATGCCTATTAATCAATGAACAGAGGGAGGATTTTTCAGTCCCTCCTCTACTACCCCCCCCATGCCTTTGGCTTCAATTCAGTGGTAAGAAAGATTTTTCAGGCTTTTAGCATATCTTCCTCTGAGTAAAAATATTCTTTTCTGAGTAAAAATATTAGCTGTCTTGTAGCCTACATCTTCCATAGAATATTAAGATAATAGAACAGGAGGCTTTTAACTATTTTGTGTATTCTCTTAATTTTGGAAGACTTGATATTGAGGGCACATCCAGACTACAATTATTACTTTACTTAAGGGTATCTCCACACTTAAAAAAAAAAAATCAGCACTTCATATTTAGGTCTCAATATTCATTTCCATAACATTTTGGTTGACTAGCTTAAATTAATATTGAGGCTAAGTGTGTTTTCCCTTTTGAGAAAGGGGATAGAAAAAGTCCTTACATGTGAACAGAAAACCAGCTGTGCACATATTTCAACCTTTTCACCATTATTTTTTTCTTATTAGTAATCCCTATTGTTATCAATATACTAAAAGTAGAGGTAGAGATCCTGGAGTTACTAGGGACCTACTTTAAGATTCTTGTCTCTAGTACTAAGATGTCTTAATTTATTTGGTTCAGCAAATAATATTGTCAGTTTATTTTAGTGCTCTATGCTTATTTAGCTTTTTTGCCCAAATCTTCAAGTAATAATCTTCTTGGAAAGAACAAATATTCTTGACTTGGAAACTTTATTTTTGAAGGGAGTTTTTAATAGCTACTACAACATACAGCATAGTGCTTTTATCAATAGTGAAAAAGAAATTGGCACTTTTGATCCTAAACGTAGAAAGTGTTTATGTTCTTGTATAATAGTAATGAGAAAAGATGGTGGTTGAATGTTTGACTTGCATAGTTTGTCTTAAGAATGGGCAAATGTTTTGGTGGATAAGCTTTTATCTGAGTTAGTTTAAAAAATTAGGGCATTTGATGTGGTAAAGGCACAAATTGGGACTTGTTCAGCAAATTCAGTACACGGTGACCATAGCCTAGGATCACTTTTTTTGGTTTTTTTTTGTTTTTGAGACACAGCCTCAAGCTGTCCTCCTGGGTAGAGTGCTTGGTATCACAGCTCACAGCAACCTCCAACTCCTGGGCTCAAGCGAGTCTCCTGCCTCTGCCTCCCAAAGGCACCCGCCACAACACCTGGCTATTTTTTGGTTGCAGCCATCGTTGTTTGGCGGGCCCAGGCTGGATTCAAACCCACCACCTTAGGCGTATGTGGCTGGCACCTTAGCCACTTGAGCCACAGGTGCCCAGCCGGATCACTGTTACAATTAAATTCATGCCCACCTCCTAAAGTGTTTTCAACTACTTGATATATAAACTTAGGCAGTTCTTGATTTGTAAATGTCAGTTCACTGCTTCCACAAACACTCGATGGGTGTACTGCTAAATCTTATTCAGTGTTAAAAAATTTTTGCTGATTCCAAGGATTTGTTCTTTTACTGCAATATCTATTGGAATTTTGAACCACATGACCTTGGTCAGGTACAACATGCTGCATAGCAAAGCTTAATGTCAGGCTTACCCACCAAACCAAGATTCCATATTCATGTTTGGAATATCTGTAGAGAGCATAGGCAAATTGATAGATTTTTTTTTACTCAAATAGTTTCAAAAGGGAGACCAAGTAAACAGTGTGATGGTTTTATAGAAAGTTATACTGTAGCACTAATTATAGGTGTTTAAGTGTTTTAGTTTTTGATACATTCATACAAGTCCTGTATTTGTTTTAAATTTTATAACATACTGGTTTGTATACAAGATCTTAGATTACATAAACTATTACTTCACTTCCTTTTCCCTCATCCTCTCAAAACGAAAATATGGGACTTATTTTCAAATGGGTTTGTTTTGATTATTTAACTCCATCCTTCTATTACTATTATTGCTGAGGATTAGGTATTTTTGGTAGAAGAAAATAGCTAATTTAGAGCATTAAAGAAACATCTTGGTGTGGTAGAGTGGACATGGATGGAGGATTGCTAGGAGGAGCTCCGGGGAAGCTACTAAGGGTCTGTCAAAAATGAAAGAAAATTCTCTGCTTTTCACATGCTTCATTCCTTAGTGATCATATATGCCAGATTTGCAGGGTTGTCTATACTGTTCATGTTGTCCCAGTGAAACACTTGAAGTGTCCTAGAATTCATTTTGGTTCTTACAATTGACTTCTCATACCTGGAAGCAACATAAAACTTCTTATGTGGTTTAATTTCAGAGAATTGGGATTTATTATGGGTATGGCCTCCTGACCAGTACTCAGAAGTAAAACTAATATTAAGTTTAGCCATCCTCTTGGTTGGATTGAGTTAAATTCTGTTATTGTTTAGGAATCCACCACTAGAACATTGTTTCTCTGAGAATTCTTTTGCAGTCGTGTCTTCCCTGTACCACTTTCTCTCTTCTTTCAAAGCCTGTCAGTTCTTTAGCCATGTTTACACTCTAGTCACATCTTTCCATGTTTTTCTTCTTGCTCATTAAATCACAGATCCACATATATATTTATAGAAATGGGCTTGGTGCCTGTGGCTCAAGTGGCTAAGGCGCCAGCCACATATACCTAAGGTGGCGGGTTCGAATCCAGCATGGGCCCACCAAACAACAATGATGGCTGCAACCAAAAAAATAGCCAGGTGTTGTGGTGGGCGCCTTTGGTCCCAGCAACTTGGAAGGCTGAGGCAGGAGATTCACTTGAGCCCAGGAGTTGGAGGTTGCTGTGAGCTGTGATGCCACGGCACTCTACCCAGGGGGACAGCTTGAGGCTCTGTCTCAAAAAAAAAAAAAAATGGCTTATGTTTAATTTCGTATTTTGTGCCTAAGAAAATAATTTAAAATTTATATTTTTTTATTAATTGGGCAGCACCTCAGTCTGAATAATACAATGAGTATTCCCCCAAATCTGAAAATTTTTTCAATTTAAAATAAATTCAGCATTTTCAGTCATCCTTTCTACTAGAAATAGCTGAGCATTTTTTTCTCTAGAGAAAAAAGGATAGCTTCAGTTACTTAGTGAAGTTATTAAACAGTATGCTAGGCACTCTTCAAGGTACTAGGGGTTTACAAGTCTACCTTTAGGGCAAGTACCTACCTTATAGTCATTGTAAAAGGAAAGTCGTAAAGTTGTTAATTATAACTAACATTTGTAATACTGTTATGGTTTAAGAAAAATGTCCAGGGATATTAACTTGCCCAGGGATCCACAGTTAATAACTGGCACAGAGAACATTCTGAAATCTAGGTCATATATTTACTCTGTTTTATCACATGATCTTAACTGTTTTATATGTATTTTAACTGTAATGAATACTAGTATGATTAATCAGGAAAAAGTTATAAACATTAAGAATTTAGAACTCAGAGATTTTAACTTAGAGTTTATATGGTATTATCCTAAAGAGATAAGACATTTTGAAAGTTGAAGGGAAATTATATAATTGTACCTTTAGTTGAAGCACATTCTCTTTGGTTTTTATTTCTGGCTAGATTTAATTAACTTCACTGACCCTAAGCTATTTGATTTTAATGTTTGACAAGACTTAAAATTTACCTTTCTTTAAAACTCCGGCTCTTGGGCTTAGGCCTTGAGCCTCGCCTCAGCCTCCCAAGTAGCTGGGACTACAGGCGCCCGCCTCAACACCCAGCTTTTTTTTTGTTGCAGTTTGGCCGGGGCTGGGTTTGAACCCACCACCCTCGGTATATGGGGCCGGCGCCCTACTCACTGAGCCACAGGCGCTGCCCCAAATTTACCTTTTTATTAATGTTAGGTAGGGTGATATGCCCAGTGTATTATAACTTGAGTATTTTAAGTTCAATCTGAGAAGACTGCTACTTTCCTTTCAGAGATAAAGCAAATAATTTGATTCCTATAAATGAAAGTTTCTTTTCTTATTTATTTATTTATTTTTGAGACAGGAACCTCAAGCTGTCCCCCTGGGTAGAGTGCTGTGGCATCACAGCTCACAGCAACCTCCAACTCCTGGGCTCAAGCGAGTCTCTTGCCTCCGCCTCCGAGTAGCTGGGACCACAGGCACCCGCCACAACGCCTGGCTATTTTTTGGTTGCAGCCGTCATTGTTGTTTGGCAGGCCCGGGCTGGATTCGAACCCGCCACCTTGGGTGTACGTGGCTGGCGCCTTAGCCACTTGAGCCACAGGCGCTGAGCCCGAAAGTTTCTTTTCTTAAGAAAATAATAGTTTATTTTAATTTTAAACAATTCTTAATTCATATTCTCAGCTTGTATTTGAAAAGAGTAATATCATGCATGTGATTCTTTAAATGAAATAACTGCTAATTTCTCCATCAAATGTGGAGAACACCAAGAAGTTATGCCATGCTGTTCATTTTTTTGAATATTTGGAGTCATGCTCACTTAAATTTCAAAATACATGATTGCTTACAAATTAGTATATGTAATTAGTGCTTCTTAAAAATTTGTTGACATTTGATTTAGGTTTTTAAAAAGTAAATAAAATTTAACATTAATGTTTTTCATCCAATTACAGGAGTCAGAAATACCATCAGAGGAAGGGTACTGTGACTTTAATAGTAGGCCAAATGAAAACTCTTATTGCTATCAACTTCTGCGACAACTAAATGAACAGAGAAAGAAAGGTATTCTTTGTGATGTCAGCATCGTGGTAAGCGGAAAAATCTTTAAAGCTCATAAGAACATCCTGGTTGCAGGCAGCCGTTTCTTTAAGACTTTATATTGCTTTTCAAACAAAGAAAGCCCTAACCAAAACAATACTACCCATTTAGATATTGCTGCAGTTCAAGGTTTTTCAGTTATCTTGGACTTCTTATATTCTGGTAATCTGGTGCTCACAAGCCAAAATGCCATTGAAGTGATGACAGTGGCCAGCTATCTTCAAATGAGTGAAGTCGTTCAAACTTGCCGAAATTTCATTAAAGATGCCTTAAATATAAGCATTAAATCAGAAGCTCCAGAGTCTGTAGTTGTGGACTACAATAATAGAAAGCCAGTTAGTAGAGATGGTCTGTCTTCATCACGGGATCAGAAAATTGCCAGTTTTTGGGCAACACGGAATCTTACGAATTTGGCAAGTAATGTAAAAATTGAAAATGATGGTTGTAATGTTGAGGAGGGCCAAATAGAAAACTACCAAATGAATGATAACAGTTGGGTCCAGGATGGATCTCCTGAAATGGCTGAAAATGAATCTGAAGGTCAAACAAAAGTGTTTATTTGGAATAATATGAGCTCCCAGGGAATTCAAGAGACTGGCAAAACAAGGAGAAAAAACCAAACTACAAAGAGATTTATTTATAATATACCACCTAATAATGAAACAAATTTAGAAGATTGCTCAGTGATGCAGCCACCTGTTGCCTATCCAGAAGAAAATACGCTACTCATCAAGGAAGAACCAGGTAAATACTGGATATACAAAGATATTTCAGTTTTATCTGTTTGCATTCTAATTCTGGTTGGAAATAAGCTAGAAGTATACTTTTTAAAATAAATTTAATGAAATTTTTATTATAAAACTAATACAATCGGAAGTGCAAAAGACGAAATTGAAAAAAGTAATGCTAAATTTGAATTTTACAAAAGAAATGGGATCACTGAAACATACAGTTTTTGGTACATTTTCTTTGTCTTTTCTAGGCATATATGTTGGATTTCTCAAGTAGTTAATGAGGCATTACATATATTGTTAAGGAATGTGGACTTCCCTATGTGTACAGTTCTTTCTTGCTCTTTCTATGCTTACTATTTTATAGTCAGGGCTGGAAAAGATAGACTCTTTAGAGATAATCTATAATCATTTTGTCATTTTGGAATATTTTGGAGACAAACATTTAATTATTTCACAGAATTTTGCAAAATCATGAGGTTGCAATATTCAAATTTGCTTAGAGCCACTCTTCTCTCCATGAATTTTCTGGAAGTTAGAATAATTTGTCTATTGTTACATTCTAATTTCATTCACCTTATTCAAGAGAGAGGCCTCTGACCCTTGTTCTTCAATATTTGCAAGAATCTCAGCATATCATATTGATGGTGGGGATTTTTTTAAAAGTAGGATTAAGAAGGATTTTTATTAAAGAATGCAGATAGATTTGAAACTTTTCTTTACCTTTGGTTTAATCTCTCTGGGCCTATCTTTATTTGAAACAGCGGCTCAGTGGGTTTGAGGTTTCCTGTGCATACCCTGGGCTTGTCCACCACTGTCATACATGATTTAATGCTTGTTTTGCTTCAAAGCACTATAACTTTTTTCAGTGTCTGATTTACATTATGGTGGTCATCTGAGGATGGAGTACTTTTTGTTAAAGAGAATCACTGTCTCCAGTTCCCAGAGGGCAAAATGCCATAGTAATCTTATGAAGTGGTTCATCTAGCTCTTTAGATTTGAGTTTGTTTTCAGTGGTAGAAATGTTATTTGTGTAAAAATCTGCTTGTGTGTATATAATGAACACTATTTCCTGATCTTTTTCATTGTACTTTATGTCAAGTTTTAGCTAGAGCTTTGTTTTTATTTGTTAGTTCTGAGACAGAGTCTCACTTTGTTGCCCCAGGCTAGAGTGGCAAGGCTTCAGCCTCACAGAACCTTAAACGCTTGGCTTCAAGTATCTCCTGCCTCCGCCTTCCAAGTAGTTGGGGCTACAACTACAGGAGCTAATAACTACTAGTGCTTTGTATTGGCTTAATTATTGATAATAGAAGATTTTGACACATTTCTCAAATTAGAACTATATTAGACACTTTCTGCTGCATGGATTATTCCTAATTAACAGTGGTGGAAACCCTGTAGTATTTTTATATTTTATTTGTAGAATTTTGTGTTGAGGCAGGGTCCCACTCTGTTGCCCTACACTGGGGTGCAGTGCAGAGATACAGCTCATTGTAGTCTGGAACTTCTGGGCTTAAGTGATCTTGCCTCAGCTTCCCAAGTAGGTAGAACTATTACCATGCTCAGCTAACTGTTTTCGCTTTTTTTGTCAGATAGGATTTTGCTTTGTTGCCCAGGCTGGTATCAAACTACTGGCCTCAAGGCATCCTAGTGCTCAAGCCTCCCAAAGAGCTGGGATTATAGGCGTGAACCACTGCACCTGGTCCTTGTAGTGTTTTAAATACAGTTTTCCTTTAAGGAATAAGCAGGTCTTTGGGGTAATTGATGGCAGAATTAGTCAGCTAATCTCATTATTGAACCACAATGCATATTTTTTTTTTTTTT